GTGAAATCAGTAGATTATCATTTATACATGCTGTTTCAAAAAAATTTTTGCCACAAAAACTATAAAAATGAAAAAGTGGTGAAGGGAAATATTTGTGTCCGCAACTTACGTGATTTTTATTTAAAAAAAAACTTTGTACGCAACTAGTACTATGATAGCGAAAAACGTGTCCGCAATTGTTATGTTACAATATTGACCTGAATAATTTCGTCCGCAACTAGTATGCGTCCGTCAAGAAGTCCCATCAACGGATGGTCTCTTCTCTCATGCCCCTTGTCTGAATTGTCGTAAATAATGTGATTATTGTGATTATCAGTCCAATTGTTCTGTTACCTACCCTGTTATTTCGTCTTCTCTATATTATTCTATTATCACTTGTGCTTATTGTAAACCTTAAATTACAGATTGTACAATTCTCTTGTTTAAAAAAAAAAAAAGACATGAGTGGGTTTATATATATCACTTTCTATTTACATGCTATAGGATATTTTTATTTTTTATTTAAAGAATATATCAAAAAAAAAAAAACCCATATAGGTAATGTACCTCTAATGTTTATGTTGGATACAGAATGATTTTATTTTTAATTGGCCCGGTGATTCCGTGGCATTGTTATGCCGGAGCGCTGTCGCCGACGCAACCTTTGGACTCTTGATATCGCCGACCAAGCTATCCGTCGCCGATTCCTCGCCAAAAGTGTCTGTCATTTTTCTACCGTCTTTCGGAGTTGTTCACGATCCGGTGCCCTGTCGCCGTCAGTGTTCCGTACCGCCATCTTTGCATGTGCATTTTATTTTCAATTTTTTTTGGTTTTGCTCATCGGAGCTAATACCGTCTCGCCACTCTCGCACCTCGCTGTGCTTACGCCGTGTTATTTGAGGCTTCCGTGCCACCCTTGGCGCATTATTTTGCTTGAACCGTCGTTCGTCCTTTCTACGCAACGCGACCCAAGCTCCGTCAACTACGTGTTTCTCGCCCGTCCGTCTTACGCAGTGCGAACCCGTGACCGTTGACCATCTTCATATTTTATTTTGTGTCATCGCCCGTCCGTCTTACGCATTGCGATCCGTGTTGTGCACACGTATATTTCTGTTATTATTTTTTTTCGCGTGTTCGTCCGCGACTCCGCTCCGCTTGAGCGATCACAAGTGCTTTCGGACATCTCGTCATAGACACGTTTTCGATGTAGTTCACCTTCGCGCAGTTGTCGCTGCCCTGGTCAGCACCATCGGCTGTTATCACCGTCCAACCATCAATTATATTATCAACGAACATTGCCGCTAATCAGGTCGTACTCGTGATTGTTTTGTTATTATTATTATTCGTCACATTCGACGTACTATTTCTATTATTATTTTTTTTTTATTATTTGTTAGCGTTTCTGATGCACCAATTATTAATTAGTATATTGTCCTTAAAACGTTTTTGGCCGATCGCATGTGATCGTGTTTATTTTTACACTAACCCTAGTCGTACTTATTTTTATTGCAAAACACAAAATAAATTGTTCTATACATTGTTTTCATATTATATAAACGTTGTTTTGTCACTGGTCACTTAACACTCATCATATTTAGATATAATTTAACTAATTAGATTTTAGCCAGATATACAGTCCACTCTCTCTCTCTTTCCCCCAATAGTTATCCTAGTCAAAACGACACAATCAAATACACGGCGGATTGCGTGTCGACGTCCGTTCGCGCGCGCGTACACATCATCCGTACACTGACGCCGCCGTGCCGGCTTTACATGCGCAGCCGCTAAACGCAGAGCTTTTAAAGTTATAAATAAACATCATCATGGATTACAGATCCAAAATTAAACTGGTTATACCACATTTTTAAAAGTTTTTGAAAACTCGTAGGTATAGAAAAGTAAAAAGTAAAGACATTTTTACATTTTTTTTGTTTTAAGACAAATCGAGCTCTGATCATATTTTATCGTAGGTTTGAAAATTATAATAAATCGTTTGTCATAAGATCCAAATGAAAATCCTTTATCTTTTTCAGTTCAATAATTGTATAATTTTCAAAATGTTTACTGGATTGTGATCGTACAGTTATATTGTTTAGGTATAGGTGAACGGTATATATTATATATTAGATATAGCAGCAATCGTTTAAAAATTCTGTTCTTTAGATTATTTTTCAAAACACAAACACATGACTACTTATCCTATAAATGTATAATGCATTTAGGTCGCTAATAGGATCCTCGAGCTTCGGTTAAAATAAATGATATTTCAGCGTCACTGCGACAACAGCCTCTTATGATCTATCGGTCTGCGCTCTGCGGGAATGTTTTCTGCGGCTGGCACGAGGATTAACTGTACGAGGAGTAACATTTTCATAGTTTCGCTGTTTACATCACGGACGAGACTACTGCGTTGGCAACGACAGCGCTTCCGTTGCGTTCTCGTGTCTTTCTTGTGCGCACACGACATAATACGATCATCGTAATAAACATGGAAACTTACGGTCAGCGGCGGTTAATTGCGTGCGCGGAACACGCCGATAGGCAGCCATCGTCGGACGTCAAAAGCGACGGGTGTGAGTTTAGTGCGTCCGCGTACGTATACATTATACAGCGGTTCAGGGTCGTGTTTTAAGCGACAACGATTTACCGCACGGTAGGCATGGCGAAGAAGCCGACCGGGGAAAAGAAAACGAAAGGGGGAAAATATGAGAAAAAAAAACCGCAAGGACGGCGGCGGACCTCGCGTAAATTATTGGCGCACGTTGTCTGCTGCGAGGTTCGTATTGTATTTTCTAGTACCCATATATAATATTATAATATTCACTGTGCGTGTGCCACCCCGGTGCGCGGCGAACGAGAACGAAAGGTCGGCGGCGATGGTCGGGGGGAGACGTTTGTGCGGCGAAAAAAAATGAATACTCGAACGTCATCTCTCGATCTTGTTATTACATTAAATCAAGTGTAATATTATTATTATTAATATTAGATATTGTATACCAGCCGTAGTCGTCGGATGTCTTGTGCAATTAATGCCGTGTCGACCCGTTATAGCCACCGCGATTAAAATTGCGCGCGTTGGACGAGGCCCAACTATTATATTATTATAATATACTGACGCCGCCGCGAATGATTTAACGTAAACATGTTATGACTAGGAACCAGCTGGATACGCTGTGCGTGTAGGCGTCCGACGGCAAGTCGTAGGCCCAGACTCGACGTGTGCGCTTGTTTTTACGATTGCTGTTTTCCGGATAAACCGTGCGCAGAAACGTCTGCGGCGCGATTAAAACGATTGTGTTATTCGACGAAAAACACTTTCCGAGACTCCTAAAGTCTAAAACCGCTTCTCTCCACCCCACAAAAAAAAAAAAACGTTGACAGTACATCGGTTCAAGTGAGACGTAAGATGGTAGTGTAACAATTTGGCAATGTCGCAAAAAAGTTTTTCGTGTTTTACGTTTTTATATTTACGCGTCTATTGTTGAGAAGCGCATCACGAAGTATAACCTCCACAACGCAAAACGACCGTTAAAAAGTCTGCTTAGGAGATTTCCTCGGCCGTAGTAAAACTTATCAGTTAGAACAAGATAATAAACAACAATAGTTTTCTGGCCGATGGCCGTCCATTAAGACAAACATATTGTCTCCTCGTATATATTTTTATGGTTATTATATACTTGCTGCAATATATTAAGTATTATACACTTATAACTTATAGTTAAAATAACTTTTCTACTCATATATTGTATCATAAATTATTTTTCCTGACTTCTCTATTTAGTCTTCAATTTAAGAAAATGGTTTTCGTTGATTCATTTTTCGGCCCTTTAACAACATCTTGTTGAACGGTTTATCACCACACCATGGAATTTCTAACATTTCGCTACAATAATTCTTAAAACTTATTTAAATTAAAATAGCTACAATTCAACTACAAAAGATGAATTTATTTAAAGCTTTTACTTAGCTTGTTTTGTGTTTTAAGAAAATGAATTAAAAAATTAACTTTTAACTATATGTTTTTACACATCTTTTGTAGAAAATACATTTTTTTAAATATGAAATACTAAATTTGTTATTTAAATCATTGAAAATATAATTTTAATAGGCAAGAAAAAAAAATAAAAATGGTGTAATATAAAAGATGTCATTATTTCTATACTCAATCAGTTGTTTCATATTATTGAATTACTATGTTGTATTCCATCCTGTATTCCTGTGTATTCTTATTCGAAATAAGAGCTTTTAGGTTGTTTTTTTTTTTTGTATTGATTTTAAAATATATAGAAAAATTGGTCATTAATAATATATTATGAAAATTGTGTTATTTATATATTTTATTTTTAAATTAACTCATACAATTCGTATTTTTAAGAAATTAAATTAAGTTTTTAGTGTCTTAAGAGTAGGTAGGTCCTAGAATTTGGTAGATTTGTTTTGTTATATGGAATTGGTTGCGATAATGTTGGAATTTTTGACAATCGTTGAGGATGTGGTTAATAAATAGAACACTCCACCGTGCAAAAAACTGTTAGGTACGGTTATGTAAAAATAGTGTTCCGAGGGAACTCTGAAACGTTTCTGAGTAACTTCCATTGGAGTTCTAAAACCATTCCATAAACGCTTTATGCCGTGTTGTTTGTAACAATGCATAAACCATCATTGTACTATAAAAACAGGTTATATTCCGTAAACAGTTTTTCGGGAACATGATTGTAACATGTTTTTAAAACTGTTCCTGGGATGTTCATTCGGAATTCAAATGAATAGTTTTAAATTTTATGTTCCAGTTATATTTTTTGAAAGGTTTCTAGGAACATTCAAGCATATATTATCCGCTACTTTATAAATAGCTATATAGTTCGGTTATCTAGGGGAGGGGGGTGAGGGATGCTTACACTAATTATTACCAAAATAAAACACAAATTATAGTAGTCTTAGAAATTTATTTATATTTTAAAAAAATAATAATATATATACAATAAGTATTATAATACAGTTTTTATAAACATAAATTAATATTATATTCTCAGTGTAAGCCTTTGAAATTGGCGTTTAGAAATAGTTCCAATATCTTTGACTCGTTTATGGATTTTTGGCAGCACTAAAAATTATAATAAAAATAAACTGATTAGTGATATAAGTTATTATTAAGTAAGTTTAACTGTTTCAGCTAAACCCAAATTTTATTATATAGTATATACACACAACTTTATATTATGCTTTTATTGATAAAAAAATAAATAATATTTTGTATCTAAAGAAATCATGAAATAACATTGAAATTAAACTGATTTTATTGTAAATTTAAAGATTCTCAAATGTTTAAATTTAGATGATAGAAATTACCAATTTTTCTCTGTCATTACTATTTATTTGCAATAGCTTTTCATACTCTATAACATCTTCTTTTATTGAAAAAAGAAATTTTTCTAAAAGTTGTGTATCTTCAAATTCATGACATTCCTAATGTTGGTATATTAGTTTTAATTAACTTTTTAAAATCATCTTTTAAGCTATTCATCATACTCCAGAGCCTCTGATTCATTAAGCGATTTGCTACAAGTTCTTCATGAATTGCTTGTAAAATATTTGGATTTCCCTCTATCATAACGTTATAGTATATTTTTTATGAAATTAAATTATTTACTGTTGGTACAAAAAAAAAAAAAAAATGTACAAAGTTATATATGGGTTGTCCAGTACCTAATAGTACAAATACCTATACTTAATATTAAATTTAAATGAGTTATGTAAAATGTGTATATACTATACACTGAATACTGTTCAAAAAAATAAAAAAGTTATATTACCTTTAGGAGAATCTTGGGAACTTGGAGATGATTGATTTTGAATATCGAAATGATTAACCTGTCAAACAAAATAATAAATATTAAACAGTTAATTTAGGTTCCTATAGTCAGTTCTATACATTTTTATGAAATATTGAATGTATCTAAGAGGTAAATTGTTTGAATTAAGTTTACATTTGTTTAAACTATACCTGTGATCCTGTGTATGATGATTCATAATATGCTAAAGGTTGCGTCATACTTGAGTCTTGAATTTTTGTTGAGTTTGGTGTAGTTAAAGATTGAAGATTCAGATTTGTATACGATTTTTCTTGGTTATCAGCAAATGCTGGTACTGATTGAAAAGAAGAACTTGGTAGTACATTTGTGTAATTTGTATTATCTTCTTGACTTATAATGGTACTAGGTAGATTTAATTCAACTGATGAAAAACTATTTCCATGAGTAGAAGTTGATGTAGACGGTTTTAAGTTTGTATAAAATGTTTCTTGGTTAGAAGTAAGTGCTTGTGTTGAATTTTGTTGAGTTTTTGTTGTATTAAAAAGTAATTCATTTTGATTACTGCAAGGTACAATGGTATAACTTGAATCTTAAAAAATAATAAAATAAAAAATATGTTATTTAAAAAAAAAAATAATGTTAATAATTTGAGAAACTAATAAATATTTACCTTCATTTTCAATACTATCACTAGTTTTTACAGTTTTACTTTTTTTGTTTCTTTTAAATGGATGATTTAAAATGTTCTCATTGTCTGTAGATTTTACTTCAATTCGTTCATGCCAAGCTTTATTGAAATTACCTATATAGGTTATGAAAAAAAATCAAAATTGCCATTTCAGTAATCAACTTAAGTTTAAATGTTTCATTAATGACGTCGTATTCAAAGTTGGATTTTACATACTGTAAGTCTTGTTGCCTCCGACTACACGGACTTTATATTGCAACCAAGACGGATCTGGATCAATAGCATCTTTTAAATCTGTACTAATCACCCTTGTAGAAGGCCAGTAACAATATTGTATTGTACTGGTAGACAATTGCTGGGTTTCTGTTTCAATAAGCCAATTTATTGGAACTACACTATAGTCTATAGCAGGAGAAAAAATGACGACTACCCATTTTTGTTTTTTTGAACGATACTGAAAGGATATGGAAAGCGATAGTTTATCTTTTGATAAAATATTTATACAGGTAATGGGTACAGTAGATAGTTAAATAAAACAAAATAAAAATGAATATTATTGAATAAAAACAATATTGGAATCAATTTTACTTAAATGTAACTGATACCAAAAAAATTCAAAGTAAGATTCACCCAGCAAACTAAACTATTCTATTTAGGTACAGTTTTGCAAAAAAAGCTGGTGCAAAATCTTTTTTTTTTTCAGTATACAAAAAAACTTATTTAATGATTTATGTGAGAGATGGTTAAATGTTAACATAACACGTGTTTTTCGGACCAACAATAAAAATTTACCCAATACGACAATACCTGTTATAATATAAATTACTTTAAATATTATGTACTTAGAAATTATAATTGGTAAATTTAATAATGCAGTATACTTGCATATTATATGAGGTATTTTTAATTTTTAGGTATAGATGTATAGTAACATAACATTTTTAAATACTTTTATATTTGAAATTGTACATGCACAACGGTCAACGAATGCATGTAACACCAAAGTCCCAGGTGATTGGAACAAAAATGTGTTTATTCCAATAAATTTAACTATAAAAAGTCTTACCTTTATCAAAGTATTTGCCATGCTTGATGCTTGCAATCATAGATTTGTAGATATTATCAGTTATTAATCTATTATATGTGTATTATATCCGTATAATAAAAGTCAATGGTACGCAGTGACGGGACATTTTAATACATAACAACAGAACCATAGATCATTATACAAATAACCTCAAATCGTATAAGATTTACGCGGAGACATCTTCTAGTAAAATAAATAAATGTATATAATTATTGTCTTTATCATCGCGATTCACAACGGTCGACGGTCGATAATCAATAGCAATAAACAGACCCATACGATAACATTATAAAAATAGAATTTTTGGTAAATTATTGTTTACGTAAAAACATGAATAATATAGTTACGGTGATGTAATCTACGAAACATATTTTACAATGTATTTATTTCACATAAATGGAATGGTTTTTCGAAATACAAACAATTTTTAAAAATAGATGTTTTGCGAAAACCTTTCTGTAATAGTTTTAGAATATTACATTGTTATGTTACCAGGGAACTTAAAAGTATATATTCCTGGAACATTTGTAACAGTTCTTTGCACGGTGGAAGCTACATGTATCACACAATGGAGGTTCATCTTGACTTATCTAGAAGTTGTGCATTTAAATTATTTATTAATCATCATAAACATTGGTTGAAAACTTGAAACTCAAAAGTACTTTTATTATTCTTTGATAATAAAAAGTGATAATAAATCTTAGTTGGTTGGATTCAAATTAATTTTCTCAAAAAAAAAAAAAAAGTTTATAGGTTCTTGTAAATTTATGCAAGCAATTAAAATACTTTACAATTGATTTTTCTTAAAAATTAAAAACCCGCAATACTTCTTTTTTTTTTTAACAAAAAAATTTAAATACTATGATTTCTTGTTTAATGTTTATGTTTATGTTAAGTTTTTATTTTTATTTATTTTTTTTATTGTTGAAGTTTTTTCATTAACAAAGAACAGTATTTATTATACAATAAAATAATATCTAAATTCAAAAAAATAAACATTTTTTTCATTCATATTTCAATTCTATTTCATTATTTTTGGAAAACTATATAATCGTTTTTCAATATATCACAATAAAAAAAAGGACAGGATAAAGAAAAAAAATGTGTGGAAATTTTTCTCTTTTCGCTCTGCTTAACACAGATTAGTAGTATGTTATTAATTATTATAATTCATTTTAAAGTAATGATAAATCATCGTATATTTTAAAAACAACTCTAAACTGAGTTCAATTGACTATAAAGGGTGCATACTGTTTATTGGATATTTCTAAAGTTGTAAGTGCTCGTAAACAAAATTTATGAGTAACGATTATCAACATTTATTGAATATAGTTATATTAATGTAGCATGAGTAATTTTAGGTTATAAATCATATTATTTAAAAAATATAATAATAAAATAATATAATAATACTCAAAATTTTTGAAAACTCACAATATCACGAGCAATATCATAATACTATTCTAACTATAAACATAAATAATAAATTGTTTGAGAATTTTTAATTATGTATAGAATAATATTATATAGTTAAAAGTTAAAAAATGTTTATTCCATTTTAATATTTTAAAAGTATAAAATTGTAAATTTTATAAAGAATGGTTGATTTACTATATTAACATATAATAGTGGGCAAAACCATAAAAATATCATTATAAGTGTATAAATTAAACAAATTAATTAAATTATAATTTTGTATTTTTAATAGAATATTTTAAGGAAAAAAAAATACAAATCATTTATTAATTGTTAACTCAATATAATATTAGTATAAGCACTACTCGTTCTGCTCTGAATCTAAAATAAATATATACTGTAGAATAGTTTATAAAACATAAACAACAAAAAAAAATTATAAATTATATTTTATAATTTACTTTACTGTAAATTATAATGATATTTTTTTAAATTGAAATTATTTCTAAGTACTCGTATACTAATATTAGAAAACTATAAATTTAAATATTAATATATCAACTTTAAAATAATCCTTAAATTTTTTCCAATATTACTCAAGCATTTTAAAATTTTCCATTAGTTTTATAATCTATATTAAATTGTTGATATTGTAAGATACTACATGATATTACACCGTATAATAACGTATAATGCATTTATGAATTATAATAAATGTAATATAAAAAAAAGCGCGTTTTTTAACAGCTTCAACAATAACTATTGAATATTAGTTCGCGTATATGTTAAGACACGACATTAATTCAATGGCTATGTAAGTTCTAGAGGTGTGTATATATACTTGTTGACAGTGCCTAATATTTTTCATACCCATTATTTCACGCAGGCCAAGTTCTCAGACCTCGGTGGTATATTATGTTTGGGTTTTAAGCGTTTTTTCTTCATTTTCCAAAGTGCCCATAAATTTATACGCGCTCTCTCGTAATGCAACGGTGACGAAAAACAGTTGTATGTCATCATTTAAGTCGACTCATTTACACGATCTGACTTTAACAACCCACACGCGGGCTGCGAACAGAGGCGATCTTTGTTCGCGTTAAACAAAAATGTGACGCTGAACGTAATATTTGTTTGTATAAAGACAAATTCTATGAATGTCATTATATATTTATAAGATTTTCGTTTGAAGAGTTCAATGGCAAGTATATAACGATAATCATAACAGTACCGTGTGATGTATTAATTATTGTTTTCATCGTATATTGTATAATATTATTGATAAATGATTAACATATTTTGCGTTTGAAGTCCATAATGATTTTGCAGTAGTATTTTACTGTCGCGTAGTTCAGAAATAAATAGCGATGGATTTTTACCGTGAATTCGTTTAAATATTTTCCAGAAGTTGTAAATTATTGAGGGATATATACAGTAATTACATTTCTTTGGTATTTTTAACACGCTTTCAGGCTAAAACAGAACTATAAAAGAGAAAAGCATTTGCCATTTGGCTGCATGTATTATTATTTTGTTAGAAACTACATAGTAAATGTAATAAGGAATTAGTCATGTGCATACGAAATCGACCGTTTTGTTATTATTTACACATTTTAACAATCGCTAAAATAGTAAATACTTGTAAACACTCAAACGTACATACGCCAATAGTTCTTCGCGAAACATTTTATCGCTGTGTTATAAACATATTATATTATAGGTAAAATAACAATTATAAATTTAAAAAAAAATAATAATACAGTAAATGTTTATGTCTATCGTTTAATGGGATATAAATTTACGTGTAAAATATGGTTAGGGATGTAGGAGAATGTAACAATACTGTTACTTTATTAGATTTGGTAATGAATGGGTTAAATATTTCATTCTCGTGGTCGTGAATTTGCAATTCAAATGTTGTGTATTTATCTTTAGTCATGTTTGGCCATTCAACAATGCTTCAGACTAAAAAAAAAACAGAGAATATATTAAATATTAAATGTATTAAAGCTAAAACTGCGACTTAAGTCATTTTCACCAAATCACTATACTTTTTAACTATAAAGTTATTTCAATAAACGTTTATTACATTTTAAATATTATGATCATGTGAGTAATATTTTTCAAAAATCCAAATATTGTAAGTAGGGCGATGGCGTATTTACAGAGAAATGAGTTCTGGACCCCCCATCAATGTATATAAAATAAATCCATATTAAATGTTTGTATTTGTACGTGATTTCAAAAAAAAAAAAAAAAACATATATTTTTATATTATAATATTATGTAATCATAATTAATGCATAGTTACCACAGTTAATAATTTATGAACATGATAGTTGTTTGCATTATAGTTAATAAAAAAATTTAAAAGGTCCTGTGGTGACGATAAAATCCTATAACGCAGTGTTACCGTGTTACTATAGTGCGTTTCACGAAATTAGAGACTCGATAGTGGCGCGACCAGTGGCCAAAAATTTGAATTTCAATGCTATCAAACTTTTGACTTACGCGGGAAATTTGAAATTATATGTACATTTTCATAATATGTACGTATGAATTTAACATTTTTATATGTGAGTCTATTTTTGAGTTTTCATTCATAATATTAATATCGTACCTCTAAATTATTCACAACCTTAATTAATAATACTAACTATAAATAATTAATACAAACAAGTATCCAATAACAGTTTAAATTGTATGCATTTTTATTAGGTTTCAAAAATATTTATATAAAAAGGTTATAACATATAAAAAGTATAAAATTAAAGTCTGATAATCTATCTCGCACTAGTTTCGTCAGTTTATAGTCATAATAATTGGTTCTAAAATCTCGTCCCATAACCCTTCTTATATAATCGTCGATTCTGTCCAATTGTTCGCAGTGTCCGACACAACGTTCTAATCATCGACCGTAGAGTGCTATGATCTGTGTTTTCGACATCAGCATTTAAAAGTGGTGTTCACATCTGCCACTTATTTTAATTTGACCCTATAAGCTCGATAGCAATACGTAACTGAACGTGAAGTGGCTACCAG